GGGGGGGGGGGCGGGGGGGGGGGGGGAGGGGGGGGGGGGGGGGTGGGGCAACAAAGAGATGATGGTCAAAAAGGTGTAAGAAAGGACAGCAGGGAAAATAAGGAAAGGAAAAAGAAACTGGAGAGTCGAGTGAGATGGGAGAAAACGAAGAAAAGGAAGAGGAGTGGGGGGGGGAGCGTGTATTGGTAAACAAGCCGCAGGCGTCCAGCCCTACAGCAGATGAGTGGGGGAGGGGAGGGTCGCCTGCCAGAGGAGACCGCCACAGTACTCACGTGTAGGGGCACAAGTGGCTGTACTAATTTGCTGTCCCAGATCTCTGAAGGACTTTTCAAAGTGTTTTATTGGGAGACAAAAAAAAAAAAAAAAATGAAGAGGGCCTGTCCCTTTTATTGTCGGACTCGGTAAGGAGGATGGTTTTTTTTTTTTTTTTTTTTTTTTTTTTTTAAGCCCTTTGGGTCTACTAGAAAAGTCCATTGGTTACTGCTTTTGGAAAACACAAACACAATCCAGCCTGGTCACTCATGCCTCCACCCAAAAGGAAAGCCCGGGACCCACCCCTGTCCATTCTCTAGCATATTATATCTTGCCAATTAAACAAAGCTGGGGGGCTCCCTCAGAAGATGCCTGCAGATAGCTTTCTCTGCTCTCATCTGCTTCTTTAATGTCCTCCTAATTTTAAAGCTTAGGGATTATATTCCTTGCCCTCCAAGCTCAGGTACTACTCATACACAAACTTGCGCCAGAGATATGAACCTAGGAACCAGTATGTACTGGTTTGGGAAGTGGTATTTAAGGAGAAAATCAAGAATATAGGAATAGGAAAACTGCATTTTAATTTTTTCTTTTATCTTTTTTTTTTAAGTGGGATTAGAGTCAACAAGGAGAAATGCTGCAGGATTCACCGCCACCCACTATCACACCTTAACCAAACCAGAAAGCAACATTGAAAATGTGTTCACTACTCTAAAATAGCAACTGCTTGCAGCCAGGTGACTGAGTGGTCGGTCACTTAGCTAGAGCTGGGGGGTTTGCTTTTTTATTTTTTTTTCTTTTTTCTTTAGTGGATTTACCTTCCAGCCTTAAATCTTTTGGGAAACTAAAAATAGAAGTTAGAGCGTTCTAATTCCCCACAAGATAAACCTAAGTGGCAGACAATTAAGATATCTCCTTTAAAAGGCGTCCCCTCCTAGCGGCGCAAAGAAGGGACCTTCAATGGGCGCCGTACTCCTCCCTGCCTAATCCGAGCAGAGAGTGAAAGCGCCTCCCATTATCCCGGCCCCAAGACCATCTGACGCAGGGGATAGGATTTGTTTCCTGGAAGAAGGAGAAGGGAGAGAAAGGAGAGGGGGGAAAACACAGAAATGAAAGCAGAAAAAAAAAAAAAAAGACGCTGGGAAATAAAATCATTCCTTAGTTTCTTAGGGTCTTAATCAGTGAGGCGGAAAACAAGCAAGAAAAGATAGCAACGCGGTTGCGGAACCTTTTCAGCTCTGGAGCGCGGATCAAAACATTGAAGCATCTGTTGAAAGGGGGCTGACTAAATCCTATAGAGGGCCTGGGTATTATGGGGGCTGGGGAGAGGGGAGGAGATGAGAAAAAGTGTCTTCGTGATCCCTAAAACCACCAAATCGCTGGAGAATTGGGGCTGGATAGAGTCGTCTCCTTATTGTCAGCCCACCCCAGCAGGATTTTATTCACCGCCGCGTGGCGTAGATCAGATGGAAACCATATTTGTCTCCCTCAGAGACCTAACCTCGCCTTATGCTTCTGGAAATGGACTCTTTACAACCCAAGATCAGCCTCTCGGGCCAGGGAAAGGGGACCAGGGAGGGAGGGAGACCCTCTTAGCACCAAAAGGTCAGATGAATCCCCAGGAACTCAAGCCGCGAGGACATTCACCACCAGAGCCCGAGGTCCCCCACACCCAAGGTTCTAAGCCCCTTTCAAGCCACGCCGGAGGCGGGACAGAGAGCCCTGCGGGGGATGGGGGGGTGATGAAGCACTTAGGTGGGGGGTAAACAGGGTGGGTGGGTTGGAAGCCCAGCCAGTGTATGACCCAGCATTCTCTAGCTGCTTTAAGTTAAAAGTCCCCGAACTAGCGCCACCTCTCGCCCCCAGTGGTCACCACCAGGCCTTAGCGGTTTGTAGCCCTGCTGCTCCGGGGGAAGAAAATGTGCCCTAAGCGGGCAGCGCTACCTCCAGTGGAAGCTACTGCCCTGGACTTTACTCTGGGCACCCAGAAACAGAAAGGGGATGCTCATTCCCGGATCCCCAAGCAAACGAAGGCACAAACACCAGGGAGACCCAGGGCTGGAGGCTTCTGGACTCAACCTTCCTAGGTCTGAGCTTCTGGGCCTATTGCCTACAACTGAGACACCTACGATCTAGTGGGCGGGGAAGGGGTCAGCAGGACTCGGGAGGGCTGGGGGTGGAGAGTTGGAAGGTCACCAGTTGGAGTTACAGAGCCACTGGGGTGTGTCCTGTGGGTATGCATACGGAAATCCTATGATTTCAAACGTCAGGCGGTGCGGGGTTGGCTACATCTTTTCCTTGCCGGTCTTACTAGAGACAGGAGGAGAGGCATGGACCTGTGAGCACTTTGAGCATTAACTCTCAAGGCTGCAGGTTCGAGGTCACATGAGCAGGGTCACCCAGGGGAGTCAGGCCTGAGCTACAGGAAGCCCCGCACTGGCCAGCAGCGGCGGGGCTGGGAAACCAGAAAGGAGAGCTTTTCTCCCTATCATCCCAGTGTCCGTCCTATATTGTTTTCTGCTCTTAAAACTGACATGTCTAATTGGCAATTGGTGCCGAATCGTGTCCAGAGGTCTCTTGTGGAACATTTCTACAGCTGTCTCCTTCAACTAGACGCTTATTCATGTCGCCTTAATGAGAAACAAAACGTTCTCTAATGAGCAATTACAGAGCGACAGGATTGTTCCCATAACAAATTCTTGCGAGTGACAGAAGCATCCTTTGTACCAGATATTTCGCATACTGTTACCGATTTTCCCTTCTCTAACTCGGCTCTGTGGAGGCGCCCTGTACGCGGGACTAGTCTAAAATTCGCAGCAGCCCCTACGCAGTCCCTGCGTCGCCCCCGGTCCTGAGCCCCCAGGCTCTGTGGTGCTCCCAGGAGTGAGACGCCACGTCCCATTATCCCGCATATTATCTCCTTGTCACAAGGACAACAAATACCGATTAATCTTCGGAGTAAACTGTTTCCTGTTCTTGACCAAGTTACTTCGGTGTGAGTGGGACGGGGAGAGATCCAACTCACTCCTCTTCCTACATCCTTCCCACAGAACCTGGGACAGGATGGTAGAGCTCCCATCTGTCCTCTCAGGCCCAGAGCCTCTCCCAGAACCCTCAACCCAGTACTCAGTTCTCCTACCCCACTTTTAACCAGTTGCCACCCACAGAGAGTAAGAACTAAAACCAATGGGGGGGGGAGCAGAGTGTGTTAAAATGTTGAATTTGTTAAACTTCAGGGAAGGGACCACCACTTCCAGTGGCGATTTTCAAATTGGCCATGCATGTAGAGGGGTCAGCTTCTCCTACCACCTCACTCAAAGTCCTATAATTTGTCAATTGCTTCAAAAGCAAATGATACAATTATATTTACGTTGCAGTCTGACTGTGCTAAGTTGTCACACGTGTACTGCAAGTGGGCTTTACAGCATTTTAATGTCAAATTTGAATAGGGCACCACAAGGCTCGACCTTACACATGCACAACCTCCTAGCCACTTCATACCGCTGTTGACATACTTAACCCTTCTAGTCAACAAGAGTCAACTAGATGGTTTTACAAACACCAATTACACAACGTGTGAGCTGGAGTACCCAAGCTTTTCAGGGCAGTGCCCTCTTATATCTCCTAGGCACTGGGAGCTCAGAGATGTAGTTACAGAAGGATGGCTGCTTGAGTTTTACCTTGTGTAGGTTGCCCTGGTACTGAAGTCCCGGGATACCAACCAGGGCGGGTGCCCCAGCTTCCGGTCTGCCCGTTCAACATCCTTAGTTTATCATACATGCCGTCTGCGCCCATCTGTTGCTTTTCGCTAGCCAGGTTGCGAAGAACTCTGTTTATTGATGACACCTGCAAATCAAACCAAATGGTGGTGTCTCCGAAAGACACAGTAACCCCTTCTTAGGGCCCCATCTCAGCTCTCACAAGTTTTAAAGAATGAGCCACCACACATGCAAAAGCTCCCAGCCACCCTGGGATGCTCAGTGGATTATTAGCTATTCTGTGGAAAGAAGGACAGCTATCACTTTGTTCCTGGAAATGGAGTTGGGAAAAGAGGCAGGAGCAGTCCTTCACCTCCGTAGATACCACTAATGGCCTAGATCACTGGGTTGCTTGGCTTTCAAAGGCTCCCCAATAAAAGAGTTCAACTTAATTTAGAGGTTTATTTCATTGTAGAGCAGAAGTGGAAGTATACATGTTGCCTGAAAGAAGCTCAGTTCCTTTAAACTCTGGTGTTCAGTATACAGAGTGAACAACTCCCTACACTTGACTCCCATTTTCCTGATGGTCAAAAAGTCAAAGCACACCTCTTGTTATTCCCCAGGTACCATGGAGACCCATGCAAATCAGGAAAGAGAGGAGACAGCAAGACGTTGGGAGGGAAGAGTAGGAGGAGAGAGAGAAAGAGGTGGCAGAGTGAGGAGCTTGGGGACAAGGAAGGCAGATGTTCACAATGAACTTACACTGGGTATGTTATCGTTGGTACAGACCCCCTCGGATAATAATCTGTCTCGGATTTCCCAAGCAAAGATGGACGGGCACTCCCGTTTATACTGGGCTATTTTGCTTACAACTTCTGGAGTCGCTACTCTTGGCTTACTACCTCCGATTGCCCTGGGTCTGATGGAGCCAGTCTCGTAATACCTGCCCAGAATTTTACTCACACATCCGTTGGACACCTGCACAGGGGAAGTGGACAGAAAACCACATTATTAATAATTTCAAGACAAAAATAAAATTGTTTAAGTATGCATTAAACAATGACAAGCTTACGTTTTCATTGTCCAGCACTTGGACTTTTGCATCTGCATGGGTCTATAACACAAAAATATACCTTCAATGGTATGAGAACTTACTGTAGAGAGCTTTTTTTTTCTTAAAATTACATTTGTAGCCCTAAAACTACAAATATAATGATACTTTCAAACACTTTGAATTGTTTTAAAAAGCTTTTTAAACTATTTTCCTAAACACTGTGTGAAGATTCATTAAAACGAAGTCAGGTTAAGTGTGTGTGTGTGTGTGTGTGTGTGTGTGTGTGTGTATGTATGTGTGGAGAGTTTGCTTTGAGTAGTATTAAATTGTAAAGAACAAAAGGAAAAATAATTGCATTTTTACCTTTTTTCCCTTAAATTTGAATGTGAATGTGAATTAGAGGGTTAAATAGCAACTGCCTTCTAAAATCCATATACATTCTTCATGTGCATGAAGAATGCAAACAAATCTCTCAAAATCTGAGGTTAGTGAGGGATGGGGAGAGGGGAGTGAGATTATCCCAATTTATATAACTTGGCTCATTACAGTTTATATACTGTTACCATAATGAATGTCTTTACCAAATGAAAAGATATATATATATTTTTTTTTTAATTCACACACTTTTTCCTTACAAGGATGAATTATCTTATGTAACTGACTGATTGAGGTTGAAAGAGACAGGGACCATGGTGGAAGGAGAGGGAAGAGCCGGGAGGTAGGGGAGTTGGTAGGGATGAAGTGGGTGAGGGTAGGGGTCCATTCTTAGTAGCGTTTACAGTAAGAAATGAAGAGAGGACATTTAAAGTGGAGGGCTGTGAGGGCGGGGGAAGGGGCGGCGAGTGGGGCAGCCACGGGAGGATCACCTGCAGAATTCTGGATATGTCGCACGGCCGGGCCCCGCTGTGAGCTAGCTCTACGATCTTCTGCCTGGTGGAGTCCGGCAGTGGCCGCCCGTTGACAAAGACACCACCAAGCTGATTCACTCCGCTGTGACCTGAGGAAAGGAGGAGGAGAGGAGAGCAAGAAGAGAAGTAGAGGGAAGAGAGAAGAAGAAGAAGAGGAAGAGGAAGAAGAAGAAGAAGAAGAAGAAGAACAATGCAACCTCAGCTCCCTGCCAACCTGTGCGAACCTCAGCAATCAGGTCCTGGTTTAAAATTAAAACAACAACAACAACAACACAACAGGACCACCAGCCATGCAGGGCATTGGGTAGCCCAGCCTCAAATACAGACTGATCCTGCCCATTGACCTGTTGTCAGACTGGGGAAGATACTCAGGAATATATCCACCCAGTATCACCTTCACCTAACAGTTCCCTGAGCCCATTGCCCCCTTCATAAGCACTCCAGACCTGCTTGGAACCCATAAGAGGCAAACAACAGTTCTTAAAATCTTCTCCCTAAGCATCACCTCTAAGTGTCACCACAGAGTCCACACTGCAGTCTCGGCCCTGTTATAACAGCACAGCAAATCCCAAGCCTTGTAATGGCTGGGCGCAAAACGTCATAAAACCTTTGCATCGTGATTTAGCTCTGGCAGAGGCGCACAGCATATAGCTCTGTGTGTGTGTGTGTGTGTGTGTGTGTGTGTGTGTGTGTGTGTGTGGAGAAAATGACCCGAAAGATAAATGTGTAGCTAGCGAACCCCAATCCGTTCCTCCACACCAAACATAGGATTGGAAACCCCCATCCACACAGTGGTCTGCCTGCCCCAATTGGGGAGCAAAGCCTGGAGTCTTTGCACCGCTACTCGCTTCACTTCCACTGCTGAACTCCGCCCTCCCCCTCAGCCAAAGACGCAATATTAACTAACAGAAACCCAAAACAGAAAGAGAAAAGGACCACATCACAGTGTCACCCGTCCCTCCTTCAACTCTTATCTCACAACCTCAGCCCATTGTCTGGTCTTAGAGACTAGGGCGAGGAAGGAGCGCCTCCCTGAATTATCCTCCTCGGAAACAACAGCATACAAATAAAACCAGTCCCCTCTTGCCACTTCCTCAGACATCTCCAACCTGCAGCCCCGTTTCTAGACAGAAGCCCTCTCAGGAGAAGATGTGGTTCCCAGCTCCTCTCTTCTCTCCTCTCTTCTCTCTCTTCTCCTTGGAGCCTCCTGATAAATTGACTCCAAGAGCCTGTGCTTCTTAGCAATAAATAAGCTCCAAATATAGAAGAGGGGGGAAAATATGATGAGCCTCTCTGACATTTGTCTTTAAAATAAAACTAGCTGCACGTCAAGTTTGAGCTTAATTTCTGGAAATAGGCGGAAGTCGCTCCGGATCATGCATGGAAGGCTAATTGAAAAGATCAGTCGGGGCGCTTGTGGCAGCCTTGTCACTTTGTGACAGTGCTCCGCTCCGGGAAATTGCATCGTCACGACAAACGGGACCGTGATAAAACGACCCTTTCCGTCCCTATTTGTAGATCACTCAGACGAGAATGAACTGTACTCGTCTCCCCTTCGAGGGGAGCTGCGTTTTCTGGGTAGCCCGAGGCTTGGGGCTGGAGGGGGGTTATAGCTCACCGAGGGGGGGCGGGGCCTCAATTGGATGAGAAGTGACAGGCGTTTAGGGATCTGGGCTCCGGCCGGGCCGGGCCAGTGCAAGAGGGTACATTGCACATTGCAGGAGACAGGTCGCTTCTCCAACATAGCAAGGCCTACCCTGCGCTTCCGGTTTCTCTTTAATTTTCTTTATCGTCCACGTTGGTTTTCTAAGTCTCATTTACCATGCAATTTATGGAGGCCGGTCTCTGGGCAAACCTTCTCAAAAAGGAAAGGCCATCTCAGAGAAACTTTCCAAGCAGCAGCCAGGATAATTCCCAGTCTACAGATGCTAGAGCATACAAGGCCTCTAATCGTAGATTTTTTTTTCCTCCTCCTTTATTGCAAAAATAACGTGGCCAGTAAGTACCTCCACAGCTGCAGCCCGCATGTGCTGGTCCGAGAGACACTGGGCCAGGGTGCCTCTGCCAGCATCGAAATGGCAGCGAGGAAACATAGCTCTAAATTCCCCTTTAGAGGTTAAGCCTCAATCATTGTGTCCCTTCCCTAGGGACTGCTGGCGTTCTCGCCCAGTGGCGATGATTATGCGCCTAGAATTCGACCGCAAAGCTTCTAATAGGAAAACATATGGTGTCAATTTGGATGCTCTGCGCCTTGCGCACACTCGGGAACCAGCCACACAAAGCCTACAGGCCAACCCGCGACCCGTGCCCCTCTGGGCCTGCCAGCCAGGTCATGGTGGAGGGGCAAACGCTTGTGGCTGAGCGCCTCTGCCCACCTGAAAACCTAAGGCAAGAGAGTCAGAGCTCCATGGTATTCGCTTCGCCAAGGAAAGTGCCTCCTGGGCCAAGCCCTAGGATCTGACAGGTTCTGTAGAAACACAGCTGCAAAGCACCCATCTTTGATCTCTTTCCTGAGTTTAGCCCTCCCACCCCATCCTGTGGCATCATCAGGGCAGCCAGCTATTACAGAACGTGGACCCGAGCTGCTGGGAACTCTATTAAGCCAGTACAGCTCCATAACTGCATATTTCTAGAAGACCTAGGCCTCTCTACACGCCCAAGCATAGTTGTATCCTTAAGCCTGTGTAGACTCCCTAACCCTAACCCGGCCTAGTTTCACTAGCTGCCAGGCTTGAATTTTTTTTTTTTTTTTTGGCTTAACTCTGTCATATACCAGCAGCCATTGGCTAAGCAGAAAGGTTAGGCCCCAAAGGGCCTGGCCAAAGGTTAGAGAAAGGCACAAAGGCTGTGGAATCAAAGGTACTAAGAGACTGGATCAACGAGGACCCACGTAGCTGCACTTGCTAGTGCAAGGTTTTCCCAATTCCTGACCAGCCCCAATAAACCCTGCTTTCAACACCTTATGCGGGGCTGGGGGGGTCTCCCCATCACTGGCCCTGGGTGCTCCACTCCCCTTCCCTTTTAGGCCTATAGCTAGGGGGGGAAGGGGAGGGGAGGAGCTGGCCTAAGATTGACTAGGGGAGGGAAGGCCCCCCAACACACACACCCCTCAGGGTCGTAGGAGATGTTCAGTCTTGGCCAAGCCCAAAGGGGCCTCCTTCTCTTCTCAGGAGAAGCCTTTGCCCCGCCCTACTCAGCCCAGCCCCCCTCTCTGGGGTCAGAGCCCGGGCAGGGGCGGGGAGGGGGTATGAGTTACAGGATTTGGGGGGATGGGGTTTCTCCACCGCAGCTTCAAAAACTCGGGCCAGTAGTTTTGAAGAGCCCCAGCTTCTTCCCTTCTAGAGCACAGCAGAGCAAATGCCTCCCTACCCTCCCTCGCTGGCTACTTGGCACTCAACGCGTGCAGCCCAAATAAATTCCCCAGGCCTCCTCCCTCTCGCCCAGTGGCCTGGAGTCCCCAGGGCCCAAGACTCTGTGTACCCCCCTAACCGGTCGGCACGCCTCCAGCCCAAGAGTCCAGGGAAAGACCCGAGACACTCACTGTTCTGCATGCTGGCGCTGGTTGGCGGCCTCCGGGTCCCACGGGGCTCGAATGCGGGGCTCTGTTAGTAAGAAAATTGGAGTTAATCCCCGGCTTTGCACAGGTAGGCCTGCACTCCTACTGAGGAAGACCTGGTGGTGCCTGCACTGGAGATTCCTCCTTTTCTTAGAAATTGAGCTACTCAACCGCTTGGGGCGATCTGAGGGTCAGCTAGCCCTGTTCTCCTATGCATGCAAAATGTACTTTGGGAGCTACGGATAAAATAATCTAACATTCACAATCAGTTTCCTCAAATATTTTTGTTCTTAGCCTTTTAATCAGAACAAACGATGATCCCAGTTTTTTTTTTTTTTTGGGGGGGGGGTCTACCAGAACTATGGTTTTTTAAAAAACTCTTTCAGAATGTGAAGCCCCAAACAGCATCATAGAACTTGCCTGAAAACTGAGATGTATGTCCACTCTTAGAATAGAAGATCTCACACATCTGCTCACCTCTAGTTAAAGTCTTCTGCCTGAGATAAAACAGAGGGAAAGAAAGGTATATGTCAGCTTGGCCCCAACACATAGGTTGACTGGTAGTCTGAGGCCCACTCTCAACCCACAGTGAATCCAGGGTTGGCTCCTTCTGCTTGGAAACACTAAGGCATCACACTTGCAGTGGCCTCTCCTACAGACACCAACATCCTTCGGAAACGGTGCTTTGGCTAGGCTTGGTTGGGTGAATTGGGGAGACTAGAGTTGTGGTCTCGCTTTGCAAAACTAATAAGCACCAGGGAAAGAGGAGGGCTTAAATCCGAAAAGCCAAGAGTGGAGTAGAAACCGAACTGGGTAAGGAAAGCAACTAACCCCTGAAGTGTGGAGGTGAAAGGAATCTTAAGGTCTTGGTGGTGCCTGAGCGCCCGCTTGGGTTAGAGAAGTCTCGGGAGTGAGCCTCAGACCAGACTCCCTCCATTCCTAAGGAATTTCAGCACCTCAGTTGTCCCAAGATCCCTAGAACTTAAGTTCTTTGGTTAGTTACTCTTTTATCCTTCACCCCCCCACCCTACCCCCAAAGTCTTCTGGTCAGACCCCCACAACCAATCTCTCAGCTCTTTCAGGACTTAGCAAGTGGTGAGCCCAACTTTTTACCCTAAACCTCATTTATTGTAATTAACTTTGCTTTTAGTGTTTAGCTCTTTCTCTCCTTTCCTGTACTGTGACACTTGCTGTCTACCTCGCCTCACTGCTTTAAAAACTACAAACAGGAGGGGGTGAACACGGTCTACAAAGTCTACAGACACCGAACAATGGCTTCTATTCCGCAGCTTTCCCCAAACCCAAAGAGCAAAGCTGAGACTCTCAAACCAGCAACACCAGGTCCAAGCAAAGGAACCACAACTCTCCAACTCACAAAGGGAAAAGATGGACTCTTCTCATTGAAGTCCTGACCCACTATAGTACCCTCCAATGCTTCCAACCTGCTCACCCTCCCTACCTTCCCGCAAAAAAAGAGGGTTCTTGGAAGAGAGGTGGAAAAATAGTAATTTCTTGTTATAAATATCTGGAGGTAATTGTGTTGCTGGTGTGAGTTGTTAGGGGCTGTAAAAAGATACAAGGGCACCGTGGGGAGCTCAATTGGGAAGGGAGAGTTACAATAAAGAGCCCATTCAAGAGGTTTGCCCAGGAAAAAGGGAGGGTTAAAATAATGAAATAGTCACAGCATCATTTTTGTTTTATTTTAAGAAATCATTCTTTTTCCTGTGTTGGACTGTGATGATGGTTAATTTTGCCACTCTACAAATAATTCCAAGAAATACATTTTTCTCTTCAAGACATTTTATGACCTAACTTTTAAATAACTGAGAGGCAGCTTAAATCCATAAAAATAAGTTCAGCATGGGGACTTTTTTTCAGTATCTGATTATGACAGGACATACCAGAGAGCTAGGTACCCGAAACGAGGTTGGGTCTCCTAAAGCCTCCCTATCTCTAGGTCAGTTCCTGAATCCAAGATCATGTCATGAATGGAAATCCCACCCAGAACAAAATGTCCATCCTACCTACATATAGGACTTAAGCTGCAAAGGGTAGCAGGTGGATAGAGATGGGGCAGAATTCTGCTTGGAACAGCAAAACTTCCTGAGTGCCTCTCTAACCACATTTTACACAGCCTTATGTCCACATCCTGGCTGGGACCTCCACAATGCCATTTTAGAAAATTGTCTAGCTGGTCACTGAAAGAGCTAGCTGATTACTTTTCCAAGCAACAGGGAAGGTGATAGCATTTCAGGTTCCGGTTTTGCTTGGTTCCCACCCTCCTCTCCTCTAAGAAGCTATCTAATTACCTAAGTAATCGTTAACACTCAGTGCAAAAAGCACCCTGGGAAGCAGGGCACACCCCAAACCCGGAAGCAGTCCTGTTCTTAGAGAAGCTAGACCCCTTTGCCTTAGAGGGGACATAGACCTTTATCAGGAATGAAGAAGTCTCCAGAAATCTCCAAGGCTACAAGGTCTTGGTCCACAAGTCCACTGGACACCCACCCTCCCCACTCTCTGACCCCAACACAAGCCAGAGCTTTCACACTATGCAGTTGTTTTAATCATTTAGATTTCAAAATCTAACCCCATATTCCTTAGCTGAAGTGTTACTTGGTTTCTCCCCTAGTGATTCCCCTCCTAGAAATTAGCAATTAAGATGACAACGTTTACTCTCCAGGGCCAAATGATAACAACGAATCAATTGCTTTCAAATATATGCAAAGATCACCAGCAACTCCTCAGTCAGTGAAAACAGTTATTCTTTCTCCGGTTAGCTTGCTAGGCTTTCACGCATTTTAGCTTTCCATTTCATTTTTCTGCTCCTATCTCCTTTTCAACCCTTCCCAAGTTCGAGTTTACCGTCCAAAATGGCTTAGAAGTGTGTGTGTGTGTGTGTGTGTGTGTGTGTGTGTGTGTGTGTGAGAGAGAGAGAGAGAGAGAGAGAGAGAGAGAGAGAGAGAACTCACTTTGTTTTTAAACTTTCCAGAAAGCATCATTAATGAAAGGCCAGGTTTCTTAGCACTCGAAAAAGAAAGCATTTCCACTTGAAATTCAACTCCATTTCCCTCAATTACACTTGCTAAAATTCGAGGCTATTATGGCGCAGGGAGACTGAGGAAATCTGCCCCGGAAAGAGGCAACAACTTTCTGAACTTTGAAAAGCCACTTCTCTCCTGGGGTCTTAGAATCCAAAAGCTCTCGAATTACTCAGACTAATTAGCTGGGGGAGGACGTGATCCGACGAGAGGGAAAGCCAATGCTTTCATATAGATTTTTTTTTTCTTTAGGCCACACAAAGAAAAAAAATCAGTACACTTGAAAGGGAGGAGCAAACTACCTTTCTTGCTGGAAACTTGTTGAAATGGCAACACCGGGTACAACTTAGTCAATGGAAGACATGGGAAAATACCCACCAAGAACCGGAGGTGGGAGTCCACGGGGCAGGGAACACCCCAACTTTCGCAAGATAGAGTTGTGGGAAGCCAGGAGAGCCTAGGGTTTGCTCGCTTGCAAATCCAAGCTCCGCGCTTGAGTGAGGCTGGAGGCGAGGGCCCTGGGGCTGAATGGAAGCTGGCAGTCCTTGGGATCGGCTCGGAGCTCCCTCAGAGAGCGCATCCGACCGCCTCGGCCTAGTGGCTTCCTTCACCGCTGCCGCTCACTCTGGGTTTCTAGTGGCCTCCAGCGCGCCGCTGCGGTGCCCATCGAGTCGGCTCCGACTGGCGGCGGGCACGATGACCCTTTGGCGCTGGAGTGTCGCGGGCAGTTCTGTGCCCGAGAGGATCTTGCACAAAGCCGGAGCGCGGGCTGGCGGGAGGCGGTGCAGAGAGTCGGCTGGTTGGGCTCTCTCTGCGCTCTGGCTCGGCCCCGGCTGGACAAAAGCATCGCCAGTGGCTGTTCTCCGCGGCCTGGGGCACGGCGGAGCCTCTTCGTCCTCTCCCGCTGACCGCGAGCTTTTGGAGGCGCTGCGGCGGAGAGCTGCGGTTTGCGGGGGCGCCGGCAGCCTAGCTGCTCACCCAGAGTTCCAGCCGCACTTGGCGCTGGTGCTGAGCCAGCCACCCGCCCGGAGCTCCGCACCGCTGAGGCTCCCGGACCGTCGCCCTCCGACGCGGGCTTTCGCTGGAAGTAGAAAGTTTGGGCTCCTGCGTGGAAACTTCTCCGGCCCAACTCTCCCGGCGTAGCAGTGGGGGAGGGGACCGGCGAGAGGAGAGGAAAGAAGAGAGGAAGAGGGAGAAACCTGCCTGGATATTGAAATGAAAAGAAATCGAGAAGAAAGAAGCGGACTCACCTTTAAGAGGCATCCTCTCTCCTGTCGTTGTCAAATCTCCTGTCAAGAGTTTTGTTTGGTTGGGCTTTTTTTTTCTTTCTTTTTTTTTGTTTTTTGTTTTTGGTTTTTGTTGTTTTTGTTGTTTTCCCCCCTGTTGTTGCTTAAAGACCACAACGGTTTGAAATGATGGTATTTTAAAAGAGTTGCTCGTGAGAGTTTTCTCCACGGACGCTGCTGGGTTGGTGTGTGAAAGCAATTCTCAGATCCCTGGGAAGAAGACAGAGATTGACAATAAAATGGGCTGTCAGCGGCTGGAGAGTGAGAGATAAAGAGTGTGGGTGAGGGAAGTGGCTGCAGCCAGCACACCTATGCTGATTGGTGATGGCTCAAGTGTGTTAATGTGTGTGTGCCGGCGCCCGGCCTCGCCTCCACCGCTCCTCACTGGCCCATTAGCGAAGCCTGACCTCTGTCATCATCCTCCAGCAAAACACTTCCTCCTGCGCCTGAACCAGAGCGGGAAATGAGGCCGAGCCACGGTTCGCTTTTCAAACCCACTAATCACTCCGCAACATGCAAATGCACCGCTCGCTCCCACACAAAATATTGCTTTATGCAAAGCAGCGCCGGGGCCTCGCGCCAGCCGATTGGATGCTCCCTCTCCCTGCCTAGTGCAATTGGTCGGTTTGTTTGAATATGAATACACTTGTTTTCGGCTCTGCCGGTGGGTC